GCCAAAACATCTGGAAGGGTCCATATCTGGCTTATTGTCTTCCAAACACTTACCCGATCAACAAACACATTACCCCTATTCTCCCTTTCTGTTTGTACCAGCATTGGTTCTTTGGGTTAGAATTGAATATTTCCTGGTTATACACAAGACCTGTTCAGCTTCATGGTCATTTATAAGTGGGACCACTGAGAACAGAAATGGGCTTAAATCATATAAACCCTATAACCCTGCACATACTGTACTAACCAGGATATAAATGCCAGTTAACAGAGTGGAACAGTCTTCCCCAACATTTCAGTGGTGTTCTGGGGGAATCATTGTTTACTCCAAAATATATCAGGGGTTACTCAGCAGGATCAGCGATCATGGCAAACAAGAAAGGGTTCCTTCAAGAAAGGTTTTCAACCGCTACTGAAATTCCCTGCAATGCCTAGTCGTGGGAGAACGTGTCACATGAACATTTAGTTATAATATGGTGCCATCCATGTACCTGATCCTTTAAAAAGAATGAGAAGACAGGCCCCTGCCCCCAAGGAGCTTCCAGTCTAGAAACAGACATCTATGATTGGTGAATGGATATGATACCTTGGGTCTAATGGTGGAATAGATTATAGAATTGGAGTGTCCTATTCTGCCCAGTCAGGGGATTGCTGCTTTAGAGTCTAAAGTCTAAAGACCTCAAACAGCATCTTATTCAACAAAAAAGTGTTCCATGTTTATGTGTTGCTCCAAAACATTTCATTAATAGAAGTTTTTGTTGACCCACTATGGAGGTGTAATGCCACTAATGCTTCTTTAAATCATAGGTCTTAGCCAAATCCCATAGCTGTCTCTTTTTTGCATGGAAGTTATAATACAGATACACTTTGTACTAGAACATGCTTTGATATTTCTGCTATACACATGCTTTTAATTATCTACTTGTTTCTTGAAGGCGAAAACTTTGTCAGCAAAAAGTGGATTTTTGTGCCCCTTTGACAGTGAAAAGACTGTTACTACAACACTGGAAAAATAAAAGCTCATCCCTTATAACACTATAATTGAAGACCCGTAGCATGTTCGGTATTCTGCGTGAATGACATGCGGGGACCACTCTCAGACAGACATATATACAAATGTTTGGTCTGCCTTTGCACATACATAATTGATACATTTGGATTGATTTGCATTGATTTGGATTGGATTATATGCATATTTACACAGGCATTTGTTAATTTCAGGATTTTGTACTTGTTTCTATTTTTGTTTTGTTTTTTGTTTGTTTGTTTTGGTGAAATTCACAATAAAACTAAACAACAAAATCTAGAAGCAGACTCAAGGGTGGCAACAAGGGAAGGCAGATGGAACCAGACGTAAAGAGGAGAAAGGATCTGCCTTTATTTTAGTTACATGTACAAGGTGGTCTTTAGAATGGTATGAACATCTCCCAGTGTCCTGTGCAAGCTACTGCAGGCTTCCATTGCAGAAGTTCAGAAAGGAAGAGGTCGATGAACTGAAAACCGGCAACTTCCACATGTGCTTCGGAGGTCTGTATGTCTTGCAGAATCATGGCATGGGATGCACTGGGGCAGCGTTAGAATATGCAAGCCAGGAGAGGGACACACATGCACATGGATGTCCCAGAGAGGATACAGAAAGGACCGTGCAGCCTGAGCCCACCTATGTGATGTTTTCAATGAGCTCAGCTCCAGGAAACGCCTTGAAGGCTATTGTCATATTCCCCCCTCCAGGTGAAAAGCAATCTCTGTTCTTGTGGTGCTTTCACCGTCGTGTCGCTAGTACACCCAGCCAGTGGCGTACCTGGGTGGCATGTGTCCTTGGATTCCATAATCAGCCCTCCTGTGTCCTTCCATGCCCATGTCCATTTCCCTTCCCAACCCAAGATGCTGGGCCTTCTCATCAGTCATCTTATCTCACTGCATTCTTCTGCGTAACTTCCATCACAACGACCCCTTCTAATTCCTTGATTCTTCAATTATCTTCTTTTTCAGAAAGACAGCCGTATACACCTTCTCCTGTGGCATTTCTCCATGGCATTTCCTAGTCTACTGAATGCTACATTCTGCTCTTCATGACTGAAGAGGCATTTCACCAGAAATGTTTGCAAAGCTGCATGAGATCCTTGCATGGAAAGCTTTCTGCCAAGCAAATAAGATTATCAGATGCTAGTGAAAAGGATCCTGGAGAGATGTACATTTAGACTTTTATTTTTAACAACAGGGTAGTTATGCTGTATCCTTTTATAACGAGAAGATCTCTGTACACAGAACATCCATTTCAGCGTTGCTATTAGGTAGTCTGCTGCTGAACGAGGAGGCATTTTACTAAAATGTGGGGGTTTGCCACTGTCTGAGATTTGAAGCCACAAATGCAGCCAGACTTTCCATGACAAAATGCTCAACACTGAGGACTTGTGAAGTACTGGTAACAGTATTTACAAACAGGTATTTACAAACATATATACACGTACATTCCTTGCACAGGCTCAGAGATTACACACACAGTTTACAGTGCAATCCTATACGTACCTACTCAGAAGTAAGTCCTAGCAGATGAAATGGGGCTTCATCCCACAGATAGCAGGGGTCTTGGTCTAGTAGCGTGTGATCCTTGGACTGCTCTCAAGCTCTCTGCACGTGATCATTCAGGTCTTTGGCAAAAGTGGTCTAACCCTTCCCTTGCCACCTGCTGGGTGGGAAGAGAGAGGAAGGGCAGAGGGAAGGAGAGCACTGGGGGGGTCCCATCCACGCTTAGCCCCTATAGGTTACCCATGAGGGAATGCGGCCTTGGCAAAGAACGGGGTTCACACCCTGAGGTATAGGATTGCAACAGTATTCTCACAATTTATTTTATCGACACAACTTCAGTTTGTGTGAATTACATTCTAATCCTAAATAAGTACATCTAGTGTATATATTGCATGGTTCTACAACACAAATAATGAAAAGCTGATCCCTAAAAAGATCATTAGAAGTTTTCTCATTTGCTTCAATGAGGTCACTACTTCACCCTATCATTGCATATATAGGGCTACTGATGAAGAAAATACCAGTGTCATAATTATATGTGTTTCCAGCCATGTTAGCACAAATTCACAAAGAAAATCAGATGTCTGTTAAAACAGAGACAACTTGTTAGGCATTTTTAAATGTATGTGTTATCATACAATTACTTCTCAAATGATTATAAGTGGAATTACTATAAAATTAATTAGAGACAGAATTGAATAGCTTTTTGTTTTTAAAGAAATGTTTGACTGCTCCTGATTTAGACATCCGGATTAATGTCCAAAAGTTTAGTTATGGAGAAACTACTGGAAACTGACTTGCAGGCCAGCTGTCCCCAACCTAACACTCTCCAAATGCAATTCCCATACTTCCTAGCAGTCTGCTATGAATTATGGGAGTTGCAGTCCAACACATCTGGAGAGTACTAGGTTGTAGCAGATGCTGTTGGCTAATTAAACTATCTCCTTCATGCTTATTGTTAATGAGACCCTCAGGAGCTACTACTAGGTTTCTAAAATGCTAATACTCCTACAAGGCAACTCCTAGGAATTCTCATATGCCTTTTAAGAACAATCTTTCTCCTTTTTATATGGTAAGAGATCATATTCCTTTAATTTATGGCATTTATTGTACACAATGACATCTAGGCAGATCAGATATTTCTTTGTTGCTGGGGAGAGTGCCTTTAACCTGTCCTTTGGGGAAAAAATGGACTGTTTTTCTTTGGCCATTCCTTTCCCTTTGGTGATTTCAATCCAAAACAGACTGAAACTCACTTAAATTGCACCTACTGAAATCAGTGTGCTTAACTCTATGCAGTGAGTTTGGTGTGCCACTTATGGGAAATGTTCTGAACCATCAGTTTCTTCAGCTCCAAATATGATTACTCTGCACCCCATAGTTGCCTGCAGCTGGAACAACATTTCTAAAGGTATTTTGCAAATTAGGAATGCGTATTCTCTCCTCCCTTCTATAACATACATTGCCCTTCCCTTCCATTGTTTTCTCCTCACCCCTTAACCATAGTCTTGTATCATGCCTGGATTCACGCTGAACAGTTTCCTTCTTATTCAGGGTTTACAATCTAAATCCAAGCTCCGGTTTCAGATCCTAACAATGTTGGAAATTGTGGGTAGCATTAACCATGGCTAGCAGTGGTACAGATAGAATACTAAACCAGCCATAGGTAACGTGTGCACTTCAGATAATGAGACAGCTCACACAATCCCTTAACATTGGCCACAGTACAAAGATCTGAAGAGCCCCAGATGATCTCCTATTGTACCAAACCACTGCTAAAGAAGGGGTGGAGAGCCACAGGAGAAGGGAAGGAAATAAACCTGCGACCCTGAGGCTGGTTCCCACATTGCAAAGAATTGTTTACAGGAAACCGGTGTAACATTTCCACCAGACCTCCATCTCTTGTGTGCTAGTAACAGTGCCTGGGGGAAGACCAAAGGGGGAGAGATCTAGCATGGGGGCCTTGTCCTGGAAGGACCTCCTCCTCATATGCTAGAAAGTCTTCTCCTTGGTATGGCAGGCTCTGTGATGTTCATGGGCTGTACTTCCCCTCTGACCTCCCTGTATGCAGATGCTTGGAAATGGCAGCTACCATTCACCCAGTTTTTCTCACCCATCGTATTACAGCAAGCATCTGTGCTGGAAGCCGGAGGGGTCGCATTCTTAGAGTCCAAAGAACCTTGGTTGACACTGAGGCTCCCGGCACTCTTGGACGAATAGTTGTAAAGCATTTTCAGGAAGGCCGATTTGGTATTTGCTTCTTGCTTATACAGGATGATATAGCACTTTGGGAAGAATGTGCAGCACAGGATCCCATAGTTGGATATTAGAATGACAATGATTTCGACAGCTGGCAAGTATTTGCCAAACGTCGTCGTGTAGACAGGGATAAAGATAATCCAGGCAATGAAGTAGATGAGCATGCCAAAGGTTATGAATTTGGCTTCATTGTAGTTCTCAGGGAGTTTTCTGCCCTTAAAGGCACATATAAAGCATATGAAGGCCAAAAGTGCTATATATCCCAACATGATCCCCAAGGCCACTGCTGAACCCTCATTGCATTCCAGGATGATAACTCTCCGAATGGAGAAGTTCTCCTCCACAAAAGGGCTTCGGACCGTGATCCAGACGGTACAGATCAAGACCTGAACCCCAGTGCAAAGAGACACAATGGGAACAGGCTTGTAGAGGCTCTTCAGTAATTTTTGTAACTTGGGATCAAAACTGAAGGCCAGCAAAATTTTCAGGGACTTGATCAAAATGCATGAAACACAGAGAGCAAAGCTTATGCCAAAGAGAGCCTGCCGGGTTTTGCACTTGTAAGGTTTGGGCCTGCCGATGAAAAAGCCCGTGCTGACGAATGTGAGGAAGTGACAGAGCAGGATGACGTAGCACACGGTCAAGCCACCCGATGCCTTCACGACCGGAGTGTCCACGTTTCTGGTAAATATTATGATAATAGCACAAATCAGCACAATCCCGAGAGCAGAGAGAACCAGTAACAGAACAGCAAACCAGTCATTCCAGTTGAGGTACTGAACCATCTTCCGGTAGCACGTCGAACTGTTCACAGGAGCCCAGTGGGTTCTGTTGTTGCACAAAATGCAGTAATCCATATCTGGACAGAGAGAGAGAAAATGATTTCTTGAAAATTAGTCCCTATCAGTGATTCAAGTCTCATTTAAATCCACAGGGAAGTTTAGTCTACAATCTTGATGCATTATAACAAACCATGGTTGGATTTGTCTTTTTTGTTTTGTTTTTTGCTTTGGGAAGCATTTTTGGCTTGAAGGAACAATAAATAATAGCCTATAATTATACATTTTAGCTTCTGAATAGCATCACTTTTCAAGCAACTTAGAATAAATAATGTTTTTAGAACAACAATAATGCAATCATACAAAAGATTATATCTAACTCTCAGACCCTAGGTTAAACGAACATTTCTCCAGCTTAAAATTGGCAGCTAAAATTCAAACAAAAGCCCTCTGAAAGAAAACTTGATTGTTTCAATTTCACCTCTGCCCTCCCCCGCCTCCGCAATGTCTAGCCTTCTCTTCCCCTTCTGCCAAGCCATATCTCGCAGAGTCAAAAGCAATCTAGCTGGAGATGGTAAGGGCATCATTATCTTGCACCATTTCCCATTTCCCTAGCCCAGGCATAGCAGCAGGTTCTTCCTGGAGCTGTCATAAGAGCTTATTTCGAATTTTTGAAGATCTCCCCTGAGCACAGTTGCATCCTGAGAATGAATAGGCAGACAATGCGACATCCCCATCACTCTTGGCTACCCCACCAACCCCACCACACTGCTTTAAATAACACCTTGCCTCATTTTTAAAGAGTCTAATATTCTGTTTGTGTAAAGCTAAGTATTTGGATCCTCCACCTGATTGGTTAGTGTAGTAGTTTTCTGGGCAGCTTATACACTCATAGCAGCAGGTATGTGGGCTTGCAGAAACTTTCTTCACCTGTCCCGGACGGCATTTCCTGGAGCATTTGGACTGGACATTCTGCAAAGTCAAAGATACAAACAAATCCTTAAATCTCACCTATAATCACTGGCTAATTGCATCTTTTATTTTAAATTATTTACACTTATTCTATCATCCAACTCTGCCAGCTTAAATAATCAAGCAGCACGTTGCCAGAATGTTTGTCCACCTCTCTAGCTCTTTATTGGGAGGTATCCAGTGTTACACTGTTCACAGCGTTCTGTGCAATTCGGTGTTTAGTCACGCCGGCCACATGACCACGGAGACTGTCTGCGGACAAACGCTGGCTCCCTCGGCTAGGAAAGGGAGATGAGCACCGCCCCCTAGAGTCAGGCATGACTGGACTTTAATGTCATGGGGGAACCTTTACCTTTATCCAGCGTTAGCCTGATTTAGCGCAAGCCCACTGAAATGAGTGTGACTTAAGTGAGATGGACTAAGATATGGCAGGGGCTCAGATAGCTATCTTACTAGCTATCAGATCCTTCCTGTGACTAAACCTGGGACCATCTGCGTGCAAAGCATGAATTGTTCGTTTGTTGATGTATTGGCAGTATATAAATAATTATTTAGGCAATAGGCAGGAAACAAAATTATAAAATAAAGAAATGTAAAACTAAATGTCAACCGGTGAGCCTCTGTTCTCTCCTCAGAGCATTGCCACTGAATTATGGTTCCTCTCAGCAGCCTTTTTGGGACAATACTTTTAAAAAATCTTATGCCTGTATTGTGATGCATTGATATTGTCTAATGTAACCTGTATTTTGCTTGCACAACATTTTGACTGAATGCATGCCACTAGTGTAAATAGCTTGCGGAAGAATTAGATACAAAGAATGTTTTGTTTGCCTTATGCTAGAGACAAACCAAAGTGTCCAGTCCAGGCTGAGTTTGTTACATGTAGGTTTCGTTGAAATCAGTTGGAGAAATCAGTCAGGAAGGAATAGAATAGCAGTAGGACGTGGTTAATAGGAAGAAATTGGTTAGTAGGAATTGGATGATATTGATTATTTAAATTCCAGTCTTGTTTGCACCTTGGTTTAAGGACCAAAATAGGCTTAGTCACTTTGATTGACAATTTTCACCAAGGAGTAGATAAACTTCTAGAGAAACCCAAGTTTTCCTGAACCTCTCAATAGTCTGATACCACCTACCATGGAATCCTTCTGGGATGTCAAACCATGGTAGAATGGGGCTGTGGGTCTAGGCAGGAAGAATATAACTAGAGGGTGGTGCTGCGGAACTCCTGTTCCACCTCATGGCCTTTGTCCCCTATGCCTCTTATCATAGGCATGCATGTCTAACACACACACACACACACACACACACACACACACACACACACATACACAGGCATAGACATTCTAGAAGCTTGGAGTGAAATGCCAACAATATGCAGATGTTTTCCTTCATGTTCCTCCAATTAGTCTCAGGGATGCTGTGGAAATCCAGAGCAGATTTCTGGAGGTAGTTTTATGATGGATCAGGACAAGTAAGCTGAGGCTGTAAGACAGTTCTGGGGTGGGAAAATCTGTGGATCTCAATGGAAGTTTGGGCTCACTCCCCCTGAAGGTTCAAGTGCATGACTTGGGGTATCTCCTGGACTTGGATGTGCCAGTCGCAGCAGTTACTAGTGGTGCCTTAGAGCAGCTTTTGGTCAAGTCCCGTTGGGTTTACAACTGTCGAGATACCTTTAGGTTCATGAATTCAATTTCATCTTCCTTGTCTGCAAAAATGAAGTCATCTTTCTCTAGATCATATTCTGCCATATTGGTAATCACCATCCGCCCATCGATTTCTTTCCAGAGTAGAACGTCATAGCCTGTAGTGATGTCTCCTTGAGAGTCAAAATAGACTTCCCTTTCATTATCAGTGAAACGGATTTCCTTAAGCTCCTCCAGCAACTGCAGTGATGAAAGGGAACCATGATGCTGTCAATGGCACTTATGGAAGATGTATACCACACAGTCACATTTACAATTACAGTGTAATTTCAATTACAATTACAATGTCATTACCATGTAATATCAATGTTCAGGATTTCTATGGCTATAGTTAAGAAAACAATGCTTCTTATGGAGGCCACTGCACTCATGATTTTGTCTGGACAACCGGAATCATATCATGTAAAGAAAACATGGCTGATAGAAATGGAAACAGCAAAGGCTTTCTGCCTGTTATTACTTGTTCTGCAGAGACTTCGATCTGGTTGGTCTCACTCAGTGCAAAGGCAGAATTGCACTCAGATTCATGCCCCACCTTCTTTCCAGCTCAAGTTCACACTCCATTATGAGCATGAATAGCACTCCCAAGAACCACTTGTGAATGTGCTTCCCCAATAATAAATTAGAGAGGAGGGAGGGCAGGAAATTAAGGGAATTTCTCAGACAAGATCAAGGTACAGGCACAAATGTGCCTGTCAAGCTTTTCTTCTAATGAAATAATTAAAGCCAAGACAACTCTCTCCTGTAGCAAATGCGGCACCACTGAAATAAAGCCACACACTTTTGTTCTTAGACTCCACACTAGGCTCACTAAAGGAGTGCTCACATAATAGATTGGCTTGTTTGTTCAGCATAATATCAGATTAAATTATGTAAGAGCCGCTGTGGCGTAGTGGTTCGTGTGTTGGACTGGAGTTGGGAGATCTGGGTTCTGGTTTCTGCTCACCATGAAGCTCATTGGGTGTCTTTGCGCCAATTGCTGGCTCTTCGCCTAACTGACTGCACAGGGTTGTTGTGAAGATAAAACAAAGAGGAGGAGGAGGATCACGTAAGCTGCCTTGCAAGAGGGAAAAAGGCAGCATATGAATGTAATAACCATAAATAAAGTGGATTACTCTTTAAACAAACCATTCCTATCACCTCAGACCCAGTTCACAGGCAAAGCTGTGAGTCACTGATTGACAAAACACCAGGGCAGCTCGGCACTGACAGATTTACAGTTTTGCCTGAAATGGCCTAAGTGAGTGCAAACACAACAACAAATGAAAGCATCACGATCACCTTAGCACATCAGACCAAGGATCCATTTCATCCATCATTCTGTTTCAGAGAGCAGCTAGCCAATTAAAATATTTGAAGAGCTTTCTTGGATGAGATGAAAAGCCCATCTTGTCCAGAATCCTGTCTTGAGCCATGGCAAGCCAGATGCCTCCAGGTTGGAAGCTTCTACAAGCAGGACAGGGCAGCAACAACCTTCCCATAGTTTTCCCTCCAGCAACTGGTATTCAGCATTGCACTCCATTCATGGATAGTAAGTGGGACTGCAACATGCTCCTGTCCCACTTACAGGACCTCAGCCATTCCATTTCCCTTCCCCTGCAATAGATACTCAGCGTTCCATGGCCACAAAGCACGCTCAGTCCTCAGTGAGCCATATCCAGCTTGTTTGTTTGCTTCCTGTTCTTCCTCCTGAGCATGTTTTGTCCCCTAAGCCTACCAAAACTATCCCTGCCTTCCCCTCCACCCCTGGGTGGCCCTGGTTTGACTGTAATCCAGCAATCTCCATGAAATGGACTAAGCCTTCTGCTAGGCCATCTAGAGGGTTAATGCTAATCACTGCAGCTTATGCAATTCCATAAGTGTATCAGCACCATGATCACCATCAACTAATTATGCATTATGAAGAAATATGGTTTCTATCAACCTGCAATAATGTTCAATTAATTCCATTGGATGAGCCCTGTGTAATTCTACCATTTTGGAAGGTGTGAAAAAGTGCTATCCATTGTCCTTTGTCACGTCCTCTAAACTCCTTGGCCTTCCAGCACTGACTGTCATTCATTCTCTCTCACATACACTCAAACAAGAACAAACGGGGCATCCCAATACAAGCTGATTCCTGAGGTGAAGGACGAGAGGGCAACATATGCACAAAAGCTGACTGGCCTGGCCACTGGATCTTCCTTAAACATGGTGAGTGGTCAACACTCTCCACTCTCTTGGAAGGTATGTAGCTAATTTTGGAAGCATGGTGCACAGGGCTTTCCTCCAGCCCTTTCCTGCTGCCTCCCAGTGTCTGTGTCAACTTCTTCAGTCTGCCCAGGCAACAAAACTCTCCCTTCCATCACAGAAGGTCAAAGAACGATAGAGGATCATCTGTGGTCAGGGAGCGCCACTGTTTGTCTGACAAGAAAACAACTTTAAGAAAAAAACACAGAGAAAATTTCTGCCCAAAAAATGTCCATCCCAGTTTAGTTGTCTACCTTCTCTCTGCCCCTGTTTCTTCTGTGTCTTTCCTACTTCATGGGCCAGCAGGCAACGATATTCCACCCATGCCAAAGGCACAGAGTTTCAGTCGACTCTGAGACAGAATAATGGTCTCCTTACATTCAGCTCCTGAAGCCAGCTGAAGGGTGGGATATTCACGTGGCAGAGTAGTTAGCAATGCCTTTTCTCTCTTTGAAAGGCATTCTCCAGAAGATCATTATGTTGGCTTGCTAGGAGATTGTGAAGTATTATGCCAGTGGTAGCTACATATTAACTAAGTAAACAGACAAATTATTTAGAGTCAGCATAGTCAAGTACTTGCATGAAAACCAGTTTCATTTGAATTGCCCCAGTAGCCTGCTCATATATGCAAATAATCAGCTCTGGGCAATCTCAAGGATAGCTGCCTTTGAAGAACCACCTTGATCCTTCAGTCTTTCACCTTTTCAAAAACTAACACTTGGTTTTGTTGTATTATGTATGCCTTGAAACACTTTGCCTTGATAAATGTGCAGTGACATGGCAGATTTAAGCTTGGGAGCAGATCTGTAACTCAATACGATGCTGAGGAAAAGGCTATCAGTAGTTCACACTGGGCGTGAAGCTAAGCAATCTTTTAAAAAGACTTATCAATACCCTCAGCATAATATCAAACCCAGAATTCTTCGGCAAATGCCATGACAATTATTATTATTTTCATACAACAGATAGAAGCACGTCTTATAGTGTGTTCTTAGGGATGTACCCTGGGTTCTCATGAAAAATTCTTCCAGAAGAACAGAATTAGTTGTGTTATAACATGTACACTAGATCAAAGACTTAACTTCTCCTGCTGATGGAATGACTTCCAACACATGAATGGTGGAGTGTGATTTCCGCTCTTCCCTGGAGTCCCCCTGAAGTCTGCTTTAGAGGCTAGGAGAATCTCTTGGAGCACGTTGGGGTATTGCAGGGGAGGACAGACATAGGAAGTCCCAGTGTGCAGATGCAGCCTGCTTGCACAATGTTGTATTTTGTCCTGTGATTGCTACCATATGGTCAGGTACCTCTCATCATCGCAGCGGTATCTGGTTCCAAACTCCACTAGGATGCAGCTGACTCACTAGCATCATGAAAGGCTCAACCACCCATAGAATTTGGCATATACTGGGTGGGCCAAAAGTAGGTATACAGCACTGCTCGGGTCATGGAGGACCTCACACAGTGGACAAATCGTAGGACTGCACTTCGCAAGCATTTACCAACATGAGTACTAACCAGAATTTGTAGCACAGTATTGTGGACAAGCTCCAGGCACGCTGCAGCACTGATGGAGAACATTCTGAGCACCCAAGAGAATAAACATGACCCAAAAGTATACCTACTTTTGCCCCACCCTGTACTATCTTACAATGTGCAGTATGAAAGTTAGCACCAAAGCAGCCATTTCATAGCATCAAATGTTGGGTAGAAATATTGCCAGAAGGAAGAAAAGAAACCCCTTGGTTGTTTATCACCACCATAGGCAAAAGAGCCAACGTTTCTTAGGGCTGGCTGCAGCTGCGAAATACAGGCCAAATGTTTTGTAGTCACGTTTTCATTGGGAGTGGCCTTAAGTGAGTCACTTTCTTTCAGTGCCAGTTGTCTCATGTATTCAAGTAGGAATCATAATTTCCCCCACCACTCCCACCCATCCCATTAACTTCTTTACTATTTATTTTTCTATCTTCTTTCCCCCCTGCAATTAACATGAAGTGGTTTGCATAATCTTCTTCCTCTCCAGGATATTTTCAGAAGCTTAGGCTGAGAGTGAGTGACTGGCCCAAAGCCACCCAGTGAATGAGTGAGGACTAGAAGAACCTGGCTCTCCCAGGTCCCAACCCAACACTCTAACCACTATACCACACCAGATCTAGGTAGCATAACACCATTTTAAAGTTAGTATTAATATTTTCTATTCCTATGGCTTTTCAATAAGAAGTTAAAGAGTTTCTTAGAAAAGCCCGTTTTTAATGTTGGAGATTATACTTGTATAGATTTCAGCAAGTTTATTTCAATCTTGCAAAGGCTTTTCATGATGCTTTATATTATTTGTACATGATTTTACATCATGTTTGAAATAGGTTGCAAGAGGAACTTAAATATCTATATTGGAAAAGTCAGTGCCCACTTGGCCACTGGTCTGTGTATGGCAATATAAGGCAAGAAGAGATACAGAGACGGGGGCATTCAGGAAGATGCATGTACTGATGAGAAGCATGATAAAACCCTACCTCCCAGGGGGCAAAGGCATATGGGTCTTCGCAGTTTCTGTCCTTGCATCGATTCCGAATGGCATTTGCAATTGCACGGACAGCAAGCATAGTGCTGTGGATAAATCCTGGCTCGATATTGGCAATGAGAAATTCCTCCCTCCAAAGCTGGCTGTTTGGTCTAGTGCAGTTTTGTAGCAATCTCTCGACAGAATAATTAGAAATGCACTTGCTCAGATCCTGATCATTTATATGTGAGCATGTTGACATGAGCATGGTGTATTCCCTTGAGAACGTGTTGTTTCCAGTCGGGGTTGCATGTAGATTGCTCAAGAACTTGTGGAAAGATGACATGTTGCCACTTTTGAATGTAAATCCAACTACTTTCCCCAGGCGACTGATATTTGGAATAGTGCTAATCTTGACAGCTGCTGACCAGTTATCACTTGCAATCCAGGTCTTATTTATGTTCCTTTCAATTGCTTTTCTGAAAAGTCTCATTACGTGGAATTGCCTCAGAAAGACAACAATGACATTTACCCTGGTTTCCTTGACAATCTTCTCAAGGGCTTGATTAATTTTGCCATGAATGGTGCTGTCCGAGAGATAAGCTGGCAGCATTTCTTTAAACGCGATGCAGACGTTGTTTGCCATGGCCTGCAAGCCAAAGCTCTCCACGGCAAGGCGCCCAAAGTCATCGTCCGTGGCGATGATGCCGATCCAGTTCCACCCTGACCTGTGGATCAGCCGTGCCATGGCCTTGGTCTGATAGGAATCACTGGGCACCGTGCGCAGGAAAGAGGGGAAGCGGACTTTATCACTAAGGATTTCTGCCGTGGCCGCGTGACTCACCTGCGGAAGTGACAAAGCAGTTTAGTGACAGAAACTGGGAACAACTCTGTGCCAGGGGAATCACGAGAGTTTATCCTGGAAGGGCTGAGCACCAAGCAGCAGCAGCAGCGGCTGCAAATTAGCACCCCATGCTTTTGTGAAGCCAAGGTGAATATAACGCACCTTCTGCAGCCCTGATGCACCATGAGCTAGCCTCTCCCCTTAGTGGATGATGGCTATGCTGGAGACCCTCTGCTGCCGTAGAGTAAAACACACTGGGGCTACTTACTGACCTATCAAAGACTCAATCCAATCAAAGAAACAAAAAAACCCATGCTCTGCTACAAGCTCCATTAGACAGCACTTAAAACGCCCTGCTCCGTACTCACGACCATGTCCTTCTGTATTCATACCAGCATCACCCAACATTGCCAAGGGTTGGGGCTCATGGGAATTCTAGTCCCAAGCATCTGGAAGGCACCAGGTTGGATTGAGGGAGGCTGAACAACTGCAGCACATTTGTGTAGAGATAATCCGCCAATCCACTCGCACCCTTCCAGCGTGGGGATTATCCATCTAGGCTGTGATTTTCAAGCAAAGTTCTTCTCGTGCACACCAGAGGATTTCCTACAAGCCAGGAACTGCTCCCCTTCCCTGCTGATCATATACTTGGTGGATGGACCCCACTGAACTCCAGTGATACTTTAGGATGGTTAGCAAGACTTCACACTTCCGTGGAAGGACCCTGGAGCCAGAGGCAGATGGTCTCACTTGGTGATGAGTGAAACCCTGCTGTGTGAACAATGTTTTAAGATCGAAAACCCCTAATCTGAGAAAAGATCTCTAATTCTTTTCCTTGGCGTTCACTCTCGGTTTGCACAGAGTAGCGGTGAGCTTAAAGATGACAAGCCAGATCCTCGCATGACCCTTGGCAGTGGAGGACATGTCCGAATCATCTAGAACACATGACGGTTCTCTGGGTAGATGTGGAAAGGGTTGTCCAAGGTCAGCCATCTGAAAAAACACTCATTCCAGTGAATGAAAACTTCTGGGCTAATGTGGTGTTTTGTTTAGTACACAGAGACATCAGTTTAGATGGTCAGGCTCAGCTATTCGAAAGCCACTTGAATGGCTGCAACAACTGGTCTCATTTCTATTCCATTTAAAGGTTAGATTCACCCTATCACTGAAGGCTGAAGCACGTTGCAACTCAGTGGATGCAGCTGACTGCCCAGCAAGACGTCCTGGTACATCAGCTCACCTTGCAGAGAGTCAGGGTGACTCTGTCCATGTGCACTCATGGACAGAAAGTACATCATTCCTACTTCTTCCTAGCTAATAGGGCTGCAGTCTGAATAACACGTTTAAATCAGCCACAGAGCTTTTCTTAGGGCTGTGCCATGTCTGTGGTGTGGGAAAGTCTCCTGATTCTATAGCAGGCTACTGCATATAAACTGCCCAGCACATGAGGCAAACCTGATACGGAATAATTTAGGGCTTTTCTACGGGAGGCACTTATTGTGCACAGTTTCCCTATTCATGGCTGTCTACAGGTTGTACAGATAGCTGAGTCTAAAGAATGCCTCCAGAAAGTTTTTTCTAGAGCAGGGAAAACATGATAATTGCAAAACCAGAATTCGCTGATAAACAGCTTTACGTTGAAAAACTCAGAGGATCCTCCATGTGCTCTGGATGAAATGTACACATCCCCTTTGGGGAATTATTAACCATATTTAATAATCTGCATCTAATCTTTCAATCCAGGATTTTGTGGTTTTTTTATTGCACTTACATGAAACAGCAGTGACTACAGGAATGAATGCTTCCTTTCAAAATCATTTGGCATGCTACTTGCCGTAAACGGGACATTAATAAGTGGAAGCATTTCATGCCAGGGTTGCTTACTGTGAATCCTTACTTGTGTTTGTGTCTTTGCCATGAGGGATGTTTGCTGTCCTCCTTGGCCGCTTTGTGAGTGTGCTGCATATTTCTTCCCTGACATGCTAGCTTTCAAAGAATTTTTGCATGGAAGAATATTTACAGATGATAACCCCCTACTTGCAGTCTGACGTGGAACAGCCACAGGAGGAATGTGCTGTGTGCTTTTCCTGCTTGTTGGGATTAACTTTGATCTTTTCTAGGAGATATTTTCTAATAAACTCCTTGGCATTCTAAAGACCAAGGCTGCAATCCTGTATCTCTTGACTTGGCAGTAAACTCAGCTTACTCAGTGGGCTTATTTTGGAGCAGATGCGGACAGACTCGGATAGTAAATCTGCAATCTCATGTGCGTGCAAAAGACATTGCTGGAAATGTATGTCACCTAGAAATATAGTGACCAAGATGTAAATATGCAGCTCATTCTTTCTTTATAGTTCTGCCCCTTTCCTGGGATCTCGATGTTGCTGTAATAACCAATCCCAGCTCATGCAGTACCACATTCTGCTTTCAAGTATTTTATCGAATGATTCAGTCACTTAAGATATTGCTGAATATGATCTTATGGCTGAAAAGGAGAATAACTTTCCAAAGTGACCTACCTGTGGTATTAGCTGCAAATTCAGTATCCGTGCAACGGACATGGACACTTCTGAATAGGTGGCGCCTATAACAGCTTTTACTCTGGGTGTATAGTCTGAATAGTTACACCTGAATTCCACTAGGTCTTTGGAAGCATTGAACTGGGAGAGGAAGCGCAGAGCAGCGGCCATTGCTCTGGTGACCTCTGCACAAGTGTCGTAGATTTCATAGCCCAGCTTAATTCCAGGTAAGAGTGTTGAGTTGTTGATGGTTTCAATAGCGTGCACCATTGCAAGGCTCTGGAGAAACACTTGGACTTCAAAGCTGTCAAGAGAAGCATCACAGTTATTCAATGGAAGATGCATGGCACCATCCAGAATGAGCGTGTGCCTTCCACGTGCACCCGAAGGCTCCCCTGAAGCCTGTGAGGCAGCTATGCCTTCACTTCTCCAGTGCATCCTGGAGTGCGGAGCCAGGAGCCAATTGCAGCTCCAGCAAGTTGTACACATAGCTGGCACCTTTGGGTCAATATTATTCACATTTTCCTCTAATATATATGCTTATACTTGCCCCACTTGGTTAAGAGGTCCATGGATGCAATAGTTACCCAGGCCTGGTTTCCTATAGAAGGTGATCACTGGAGACTTATGCATTGGGAAAGACTGGAGTTTGTTTACAAATGTATAGTCTAAGTTGGGCTTTTCCATACGTTCAAACCCTCTAGCACAGCTTCCTCCTACCTGGATCCCTTCAGATATTTTGGACTTCACAGGAACACTAGACGTTCCATGCTGGATTAGACTTAGTCTCATAGGCTAACCAGTTGCCCATGAGAAAACTACAATTTGGGCTTGAGAATAAGAAAATCCACCCAGATGTGTTCCTCAGCAACTGATACAGTCTTGCATATTGGAGGTAACATACAGCCATCATGACTAGTAACTTCAACTCCCATCAGTTTCAGCTAGCATAGATGAGGGTCAGGAATGCTGGCAGTTGTAGTCTCAAATATCTGGAGAGCACTAAGTTGGAGAAAGCTGCTCTGACTGATATCCATTGTTCCATGTGAGGTCTACAGTGAAAGGCAAACATTATCCCAAAATTTTAGCTTAGAAAGCCCTAAAACATAGCTCTCTGTTTTTGCTCCCCCCCCCCCAAATGGACTCTATTGTTTTCCACTCACTGCTAACTCAGCCCTTCCTCTGGACATGGGGTGGGAAATATGGAAGAGTTATTTTCTCTAACCATCTCTTAGTCCTCTTGGGCAGTTTAGCAGAAGTTTCCCTAACCTAAGATGAGCCTTGCAGCTTTGTAATTGGCTATTAAGGAAGTTTTGCAGAAATTCTGGTCCCATTAACTCTCTCCCATCTCAATCTCACAAGACCACACCCTTCCCCAGACCCTTCTTAAAAGAATAATACTTCTTCCTGTGAAAGACATAAATCAACAGATTAAGCAAGACTTTAAAGCACACAAACTGTTTGCTGAATCAAAATTCCACAATCACTTCCCCTTTCACCAAATGACCTCCCCCCCACCCCAATTTGGCCATTTCTATTCAAAAAACTCAATTTCTCATATAAAATTTAAAAAAAACATTAGCTTCAAGATATCTTTGAGTCTCTATCTCCTTGCTTGGGAACACACTTGGGGAAAAAAGCTGGAATTTTTGTCAGTGCAAAAACTTTAGCTGTTGCTCTAACTTGGCAAAATCCTAAGAATATGACTTTCATCAACACATTTAAGCAACAAGTGAGGAGTCTCACTTTTTGGTGATTCTAGGCACTTGTATCCCACTGTCGGCCTGTTTCAGTTATGGAATTTCAGAAAGGGGCCTAGTTGATATTTTCTTCCACTTGCAAACCTCTCATGTTTTTCCGGCTCTTCTATTCCCACAAAAATCCAGCAAGGAGGAGAAGGCAGAATAGCACAAGGGACCTCAGTGTAGAAGCACCATTTGTAACTTCTTGGTGATGTTACACCATTTCACTTCTGATTGGGCACTGTTTTTGGTGCCTGTGGTTGCACCCTTTGGGGCCTTCATGGGTGGGGGGGCAGCCACACATTTCCATTCAATGGAGCTGTTCACATGACTTGACTGCTGACTGTGGACTATTTGGCTCATGGTGAGGTCATGATACATGCAGGGCATTTGTAGCCTCCATTTTCAACATGCATTTCCCACACAGGGATTGTTCTGTCATGTAATCCCAGAAAATCTGAGTTACCTGAGGCTAAAACAACCCTCACGTAATCCATGGTCTGTACTGACATGAAGACTGTTTAACTGTGGCATAACCCAGGTTCATACAACAAGAAAATCTCCAAGCTGGGATTGCATATGCAGAATGGCCCCTGTAGACACTGTGACTTGTCATGGGTTAAATTACCCATGATGAGCCATCATATGTTGTCCAAATCAGGCCATTCTCTCTTGTTTTCACAAAAATAGTGGTGCAAGCATTCCTAGGAGTGACAATTTAGTTTCAGAACAATTTCAAGAATCTAGTACCTAGGGTGTCCTCCTGTTTATTCAAGTTTCTCCCTCTTATCATTGAGCAGGGTCACCTTGCTTAGATGATATGAGTAGTTCTGTTCTTAGGGCTTCCTTCCTTTGGGTCCATGTCTGTGGGGCTTTCTGCCACTGCACGAAAGCTCTCAAGGCACTTCTCCACCAGAATCAACCGGAGTCCCATCCTGGGGCCTTTCTCCTGCCAGGAGTGGAAGGGAACCTCCTTACTCCCTCTTGCTGCTCTGGAAAAGCTTTCCCTGCCAGTCCACTCCACCACAAACCCAACTGAAACTGGATACTCATGCCTATCTGGGTTGATATTTTTCATGACTAACTGGGCTATCCCACCCAATGGGAAAGCAATACATTCTCATTTTTGCCCATCTTCTCAGTTACATGCATAAAGCATGGTCCAAACCTGGGGCAGACACAGGGATGCTGGAGAGCCCTACCACAGACCAAATTTATAAAAAAAATGTTGTGAAGTACCCTGAACACCTAGGAAGCAACATCTTGCACAATGGCACATACTATTATCCAAAACTGTGAGAGGCAGGTGAACAAGCAGGTAGCAAGGCTAAAGAGGAGGTGCAATCCCACACGGCCCTTGGCTGGTGCCCAACATGCCTGGCCTTAATGCTGCCTATGGTTCTGATGCTGCTTCTATCTACTTGGCTCCTCAGTGCCTTTAGAAAAAGGTTCAGAGGAAGCTACCATACAGCAAGTCATCTAGCTCAGTATTGTCTATACTGCTTGGAAGTAGTTTTCAAGTGGGGTTGCTCTTCAATTCAAGATACTGGGGACTGAAACTACGACTTTTCCACCTGCAAGACAGGTGTTGTACCATTGATCTGCTTTGTACTGCTGTGCAAGAGCCCTATGACTGAGGGCCTGATCTGTTTCCTGGAATGTTATGTAATAGCTTCATTTGCATGATTCTCTACCTCCACAAAATTCAGGATGGCATAAATAACCCTCCAGCCTCCCCATAAGGAGTGCATGAATAGTCATAAATGAGAGCTAGGACTGCAATCCTAATTCATTCCTTAACTAGCGAACCAACCCATTTAAAGTGTTCATGGGTTTAGAAAGGGGGAAAGAATTGTGGATACTGAGGATAAATTTGAATTGAGGTGACTGACGATGAAGGCTACCCCCATCTATTTTTCTTTTCATTCTGATGATTCACTGAGCAAAGAAATCAAGAAGCTCAACCTTTTCTTCCAGAATTGGGTGGTGATGTCCACTTACTGACATGTAATGAATTACCATGCTGTTCTGCCAAGTTTTTCTAACTCAGTCATTCAGACATGTCCCTGTGCTGACAGAATATTTTGTTGAAAGGCAGATGGTACTAAAAGTTCTCTGTGCAGTGAAAGCTCCAGTTAGATGCAAAGTTGTGGCTATAGCTTCGAAACCTTTCTGGATAACTTGTACACCTCTCTTAATAGCAGATGTGCTGCATCCCCAAAATTGCTTCCTTTGGGAGTTGTCATATTTACTGTGGCAGATCTACAGTAATGTAAAGAGTCTGAGGAAAATAATTCAACTGTCTTTTAGGTTGCTCCTTTAAAAGGTTGACTTACATAAATAATAGTAGGGATATGCAATATAAGGACTTTCTCTTGTACATATGATAGAAAAGGGAATCCCATCTAAATAACAGACAATTGTACTTTCTAAAACCTGTCATTCTGTGTCAAAAATGGCCTTACCACTGTAGTTCCTCTTAGTGAGAATGGCTAAGTCATTTAGGATGCAATCTAAATGACTAAACAAATCCCATTGAACTCTGTGGAACTTACTTCTGAGTAGGCAAGTAGAGAATGGCACTGTTAGGCTTTAGCACACTCAAAGTTAAAATGCTGAATACTTGGTACAATTCAGGAGAAAGCCAATACAAACCAGATTCCAGATATGTAAAATACTTCATGCCGTATTAATCTGCCGTCACAGGAGTCATCAAAATGCAGTGGTTAACCCTATACTGTAAAAGAGGTATAAACCAATAGCCAATAGCCAATAAGATGATTGCAGTGCAATCCTATACATGTTTACTTAAAGCCAGTTCCATTAAATTCAACAGGATTAACTTTCGGGTAAGTGTACATAACAATACAGTCTTACAGCATGATTGTGTAATGTGTACTCAAATGTATGTCCCACTGACTTCTCAGAGGAAACTGGATATAGCTTTGCAGTATTAGAATATTTATTTTTAAAGAGATAGGCAGATTTTATTTTATTAATAACTTATAAAGACCACAAGATCACCATAGACTTTCCACGCATATGATTGCTGTGGAAAATCCCCACCACTTCACACAAGCACATACTTCATTTGACAGTTATATCAAAGTAATCCTTTAATACAGTCTTTCAAAAAAGCAGAACATGTAGAGATTCCCTTTCCTTTTGTTTTGAGTGGCCCCATTCCTTTCCATGCCATCTTACTCTATTACATAGTTCTTGTTACTCACCCAGCACAATTGCCAATCACAGGTTTCAGGGGCTTTTCTTCGGAATGCAACATTTTGCTATGAATTGCAAACAAGCCTCCGATGACAATATCTCCGGGAGAGCTGGCACCCACAAAGTCATCAGGACTCCAGCAGCACTGACCGAGATGAAAGCAAATCAGGAAGACAGGCAGCGAGAAGCCAAATATTGCCATGTTTCTGTTTCATTTGCTCTTAGCTGCCTTCAGTCAAGTAAGCAAGCAGCTCTGCCAGCAATACCATCCCTATTTCACCTGTAAACAGCACTTCAGGGAAAGGGCTGCTCTGGAAGCCAGGCACACCTTAACCCAATGCTGGTTACCAGCTCTGACGGGTCGTGCTGTTGAACTGATACCACTGGAGCAGTTGGGGGCAGGGTGGGAAGCTTGTGAGAACAGGAGAGGAAGAAAATGTCATCGCCAAAGCCTTCTCGAGCATAGGTGCACAATTCAAGACATGTCGAGAGCCACAGTTTAATTTTACTGAGCCAAGTAAAACTTCAGGACATCAAGCATGGAAGAGACATATATCTTTACTGCAATTCTAAGCGTGTTTCCTTTTAATCCATTCTCTGTTAATCTGCCTTTTAAGTCTTCACCTGATAGTGTATTCTCTCATCTCCCTCTCTGTCTTCCAGTACTCCATTGCTACAGTTCTGTCTGAACCCCTCTGTGGACTTGCCTTCCTTTTCTCTCACTACCCCATAGTTCAGCTGCCTCTGTCTCTCTCTTGCACCCCCCCCCCCCGTATCAGTATTCACAGTTTCTCCACCCACAGGTCTCTCTGCATCCTCATCTCTGGGGCACCTTCCCTTGTTTCCCTGCATGACACTCTCCCAATTGCTCCCCAGAGGTGGCCATCCACATCACCTCTGCTTTCTCCTTTCCTCATCCTTGGGTCATACCACCAGTTCTTCTGCATCCCATGTGAGCCACGTTTCTTCCTCCACCCTGTAATGCCTTTCTCTCCATCCCCCTCAGCTCTGCTGCCTTCTCTTGGGTTGTTCCAGGGAGTGATCACACAGTCACATTCATAGAAATTTATAGGATCAGGGAGCGTGGAGTTTCTGTTTTTTCTTGCCACTTTGTCCACCGTTTTTCTCACGAACTATGAAGAATGAAAAACTGCACAATGTCTTCTGAATGCAAGTGCTAGGAGCTATCTGTCTGGATGCCCCTTTGGTCCCTCTTCATCCCATTTCTCAGTTCCCCTCCCCTGTTTCCCCTGCTTTGCCACTCACTTCCCTACTCTTAACTCCCAAGCCTTTTATTTGCTAAACTTTGTACTGGGTTTAGCAAAAGTTGTTCTTTCTTACAGTCATAACCGATTTTGACTGATCCAACCTATCCCCTGAAGCTGAGCAAGGGTACGTCTATCCTCTTCCTCCCCCAGCTCACACTGGTCTGACCTCCACCCTCTGCAAATATGCAAAACACACAGGGTTTGATTTTACTATCAATCTTTTGGGAAGCTGACTACACAATCAAGGCCCGTGTGCATTATTGTTTATGGGTAAGTATCAGGAGCTGTGGAGGCCAGTTTTGTCTGTGAAAGTCCACAGAACATTCCTAGAAAACAACCCCCCACCAAAATGCCCAAATTTGTGGCAAACCGGAGTGGCGAAATGCACTGTAATACTACATAGTGCTATAATTGTTACATTTAACTTATTTTCAGGCTAAATTTAACCTTTTTGGAGCTCTGTAGTTGTTGCAGATCACCAAGGTAGATGTGGCTGTTTGGTTGCTCCATAGCTACAATGGACACTTCTTCTCTTCTCTTCTCTTCTCTTCTCTTCTCTTCTCTTCTCTTCTCTTCTCTTTTGGAGGGAGGCAGGCAGGCAATGGTGGAGGCTGCATGCAGTCTGCATTTTGCCTACACATGGTAGGCAAAACTTTAGATGTGCCATCTCTTCAAATGGGAGCGGCCAGGTCCACATCACATCATTGACCAGGTTTCTCCAAACCAGCTCAAATAGTCTTAGATATGAAAGATCAATATAACCCAAAGGGTCATAGATATGAATGGCCAACAAAAACAGCAAGCTGGAATAGAACATATTTTCTAACAATTTTTATTGTCTTCACTTTAGTTTTTCATGAGTCTGTCCGTGTTTGCAAAACACCAAAGCATGGTGAAGAGTCTACATACAAGCAGATCAACACTGATCAAAGACTGTTATAAAAACATTACGTTCTAAGTGGTAAAATCCTGAACTGATATAATCTCCTCCCTCATCCATAAAATCATTAACAAGATGCATTTGATAAGTTATGTTTAAGCTACTCTATTACATTTTCCCGTTTAGCTTTCTCTTTCAGATATATCATCTACATTCTGTGTTGATTTTGTTCTGCAGCTGCTTGTAGGCATCACTGGAATCACTGCAGGTCTATATTGGTTTTGTACTATTTTAACTTTCATGGCTCTCCCCAAAGAATCCTGGAAATTGTAGTCCAAACTACAATCTCCATTTGCTCAAGGGAAAAGTTGCAAATCTATAGTTTACAGGTTAAATCTGAAGTCTGTAGATAGCGCCAGTGTTTTCTAATCTACTTTTTCCTACTACGAATGACAGAAAGTCCCTTGCTGCTGCCCCCCTGCTCCACATGTCTCTGCCCCTCCTTTTATTCTTTGTGCCACAGCAAAGGGAGCGCATTTTGCTGGCTGCTGACGTGCAAGAACAAGTGAGAGAGAAAGCAACAGGGCATGGGAGGAGATGAGCTCCAGTCCTGTCCACAAATCAGTGCAAGCAAAGAGCAGAAAAGCTTTAAAGTCACTCTTACTGAAAAGAGTCCTAATACTGCTAGATTGGACCAGATGTGTCTTTGTAGGCCCTGGAACCCACACGCGCCATGAAAATAGTTTGCAAAACCACAGGCTATTGAGAAAGAAATGCCAGCAAAAATCCTTCATGCTGCTCAGCCGGTCGGGGGTGGAAGAACCCGATGTGCGCAACAGAGGAAGGGGTTGGTATGGGATGTGCTTGTATGTGTGTTTATGCATTAGTCCAAACAGTATCCAAGCGTTGTGCTAAGGAGGGCTGCTTGCATCTCTACATCTTCCAGGTTTTCCCACCTCAGAATCAAATAAATTGCAAGAAAACCAAGAACCAGCTGCACTCCCATTTCCGTCCATCACTGTTACAAACACTAAACGCAGTCTATTTTATACATTTCTAGTGCAAAGCTCTAACTGTCCCAGCCATGGTTTCTTCCAAACCTGATTAGCACAAAGTAATTGCAGAATACATGATTTTTTTCAACAGATTAATTGTTGTTCACATAATTGTTATAATTGTATTTATTTCTTGACACACTGACTCATGCTGTTCCTTTGGCTAATGGGAAACAATTCAATTAAGTACTCCTTTTGCAATATATGAATTAATTGGTACAGGATGCCAACAGCAGAATCCACAGCTTTCAAAATTTGTCAGATTATTGGGGGCATCTGTCAGATTGTTTTTTCTCTTTCTAACTGCTAAGAGCTGGAAATCCTGCCCTGGCCCATGGCAGCTAACCTGGCAGGTTTTGGAACTATAAGGTTTAGATCAGGAAAACGTTGGAAATGGAAGTTGACAGAATAAACATAAGATGTAATTGGAGCATAACTTGCTGTTATTTGTAGAAACACAATGAACTGATGCGAGGAATCATCACGCATTTGGATTTTTTCAGTAAGAACAAGGCTGTAGGAAGCATTTTAACAGACAGGTGTGTGTGTGAGAGAGTGAATGGGTGGCGAGGGGGAGGGAGAGAGAGAGAGATGGATCCATCTGCTTGGCTTCCAACATGATAGGCATCTACCTAGAAATACTTCTACTCTAGGTCAATTTTTTTAAGTCCAGATCTAGGACAGAGTTAACAGTGTACAGAAAATGACATTTGTACAGAAAATGAAATTTGTTCCCTGGCAGAGTTCTATTCTGCTTCCTTTGTTCCTGCTTCTACAAACCCCATTTTTCAAGCTGTCTTTCTTTTCGCACAAAGAAAGCTGTAGCGAGAGCACCAGAAGTGTCCCCATTCAGTGCCCCCAACCCTGGCTGAATACTGGTGTGTTTTGCTCTTATCATATTTGCTCAGTTCTTCAGTTTATGCATGTGTGATCTTTCACATTTACTGAAGCACAGCCTGAAAGCAGTGGAAAACTCTAACCCGGGAAATGTGACTTAGGAGTTTATTAATGCAGAATGCAACAAAATGTTGCACAACACTCCCAAGGATCCTCCTGCTCAGAGCTCAGACCAATCTGAAATAGATTTGTAGCACTGTTTGGGGTATATGGGCGTGAGTGAGTAAGTATTTTGTATGCTTCTGAAGATGTTCCCACAGTCCTACAGAGGGTTAAAGTGTTTTTTTATTATTATACATCAGAGTTAGGCTGTATGTTCCTGGAGAATGAAAAGAGGAAAATTTTCTGTCTTCATTCTGAAACTTTCCCGTATATTGCTGAGAGCTGAGCTTTTTATCCAGCCCCAACCCGCAGTTACCACCAGCAGGGCACTGGGCTGAATCCCAGTGGCAGGCCACAGATGTTGCATGTAAAAGATCCTGGGTTAGGTCCTGCCCTGGTAGGTCTAGTCAGATCTGGGAGGGATGCTTGCCTAAACCCTGGAGAGCTTTTGCCAGCCAGTGCACATGGACTTGGCCTAAGTCCATGCTTGGCCTAAGTCCACGCTTCCTATGCTTCTACAAGCAGGCCAGTTTCCTCTCCCTCTGCCACCTCATCCTCTTTTCCTTTCTCAGCAGCCACACAGTCCCTCTCATCCCCCGGGTGGGTTTACCGTACACATCACAACAACCCAGCCTGGCAATAAGCCACAGTGTGTTTGTATAACATAGAAGCCGTGGGGATTGTCATGCTATGTGAACCTGCATAGGATTTGCTGTGGGATGGAATGTGTGTGTGTGTGTTGATGTTGCTTGCAAGTCACCCTGACAACCCATGACTCGTAGTTGGTTTGTTTGACCCACCAGGGGTTAATTTGTCATCTGAACCCCTAGCCCAACTACTATCGAGCCACTTGGACAAGTGGGAGCAGGCAGCCACTCTTGCCAGGCACCCCTAAATGCCGAAACTGGCAAAGCCCCCCCCCCCACTGCCACTATGAGTTGTTCTAGGTTCACCGTGGCTTTTGTGGTCACCATGTGAGCATCCATGAGGTGCCCCTTCA